GCACTAATGATCTAGGGATAACACCAGGTATAATGACTGACTTATGAAGCCTTTTTATTCCGTAATGGCGAATTTATTATGTGTGGGGAAACGAATCTGGTACCTAAATACTAGTTTTGCAATAAATCTTTTTCAAAGTTATTGTTTTGGTCAAATAAAAGATATCGACTTAAATTGGATTGTAGCAAAATTGGTATATTCTGAATTTATTTTATTTCGATTGTGTAGGAAGCTATTAGCTTATAAGCACATTTTCGAATCCGTTCCTAGAACCAACAAGTACTGAGCAATGTGCTTAAAGTTTCTTACTAATAATTATTTTATTGATCATCATGTGTCTTTTAAAGGGTAATGAATTTTTCTTTAAATAAAATTTGATAAAGATAAAAGTATGTTGTTTTCATTATCTTAGGCCGATTTCTCGAAAGAGTTGTAACATAGAATTTTCTTTATTTTACACATTAATTATTGCACATATATATATATATAATAGAATGTTAAAGAACAGAATATGATGTAACTATTTTAAGTACAGGTGTTATTCTCTTTAAAAAATCAAACATTTTTGTACATTACATGCAGCTAATTAAAACGCAGACTCGGTTCAGTTTGACTTGTACTGACAAGAGAGATAATAAAAAGTGCAACATCCCCCAGCACCTAGTACCGACTTTTACATACAAGAAAAAGGGACAAGACCGATAAATAAATAATAAATATTCAGCAGTACTGTTTACTTATATGTTGAATAAGGATCCGAACTACTAGTATCAGAAAAACATTTGCATTTCCTTAAAATTCATACCAAACAATATGAATAATTTATGAACGAATGGTTTCATATGCTATCCTTCAATAATAAGATTAGCTAGATTCATTATGAAACGAATAAATGTTTACTTCCTTTGAAAGGGTAAATAAATACATTTAAATAATGGTATAGAGCATGTTAGAACCTTGGTTTATACCAAAAAGTAGCACTAAATGTGAAATAATTTGTCACAAAATTAACGAAATGTAAACAAAATAGAGAAAAACAAAAACAGGATCCCTTAAGAAAGCCCAACACGACAAAATTGACAATGTTGCAGGCTCGGTTTGATTGAACTATTTGACTTGTATACAAAATACCAAATCACTATACATGTTATTGTACTTCTTGCCAAAACGCACCAGAAGGAAAAGATGGTTCAGGTAATTGGCCAATGAGCATCTTTTTTGAAACTATAAAAAGTACACTGAAAATAAAAAGCTTTTAAGTATAAAAGTAAAAGAATTTCTGAGACATAATAGGCCTTTAATATGGTTTATATTGACATGATTGTCATGAAACATTTTCTGAAGCTTGTGGTTACATTAATATTCCAGTGGTGATACGAAATATATCCTGTTTGTTTAATGTTTCCTTCTCTACATTGCACGTTTAGTTCACCAAATTTGACATTTAAAGCAGTGTCACTTTTTAGAGAGCGTAGAATTGACCTTTGGAAAATATCTATTAAATAACTCCCAGAAGACTTAGCGCTAATCCAAACACGTGCAATTGTCTCTCCATAAAGCATACATTTAGACAAGACTAATTCCAAACTCTATCTGCAGAAAATTATATTATTCACGGAACACGTTTCAATCAGACAAGCATGTTTGGCTCGACAATCAATTTGTCAAAGAAACATTTTAAAGTTGTGGATAAGAAAAGGGTCTTTCAGCGCAAAAAAAACGAGTTCACTAAGATTTCAAATTCATTTAATTCCATTGGCCACCTCTATTTTTTTTAACTTCAATTTATTCTGTACCTTTCTTACCTTGGTTAGGTTTTTAGCAAAAGTATTATGATTATCCATGCAAGAAGGTTTTAGTCAAAATAAGTTTTGTACCTTTTAAATTTTACCAGTGTATGTACCATGTGTATATGTGAATTTAGATTCAACAACTGTAGTAGCTAAATGATTGTAAAACAAATTTGTTTCATTTCTTACTAAAGTGTGATATGCATTGTCATGCCACTTTACATAGGTATGAATAATTATTAATACAGACCTCCGCATACAATCAGGTTGTTAAATAAGATTCCTTTAATAGAAAATGTTTAGAAATGAGGGTTTATTGTTGTATCATTCATCACATAATTACAAAGACTCCTAATTGCTAGGAAATTGTCATATTTAAACAAGGAAAGGAAAAATACCCCAAGCATTTTTATGTTTTTGTAAGATGATGATGATAATAATAATAATATAAGTATATATAATAATAATGATAATATAATAATAATGATAAAATAATAATTATCATAATAATAATGATTCAAAATGTGATACAGTGTATATGTAAGGGTGAAACACATTTTGTTACACATGCTTCGTTCTATATTTGAGTCCCAGTGAAACACATTTTGTGACACATGCTTCGTTCTATATTTGAGTCCCCCTTGTTGTCAAATAAAGAAGGTTGTAGTCACATCTTACAAAACACATTTTGTGACACATGCTTCGTTCTATATTTACATATATATATATCATTTACATACTATCTTGTATATCACTATAGTATACACCAAGTTTAAGAATCGTGAGTAACACAAACTACATTCATAAACTAAACATTTGTACTCAAATGTATAAAACCATGTAACTTCAAAATATTCTATAAAAATTATCTGTATATTGAGTGTCTTCTCATAAGTTTTCCTTATAGGAAAAAACTTCAAAAAAGGTAATTGTTCACTGCTGTTTCTGTTTACTTTCGGCTGAAATTGGAATGCATATTGGTCACGGTTTGAAAAACGGAATATAAGTATCAATAGAAAAGACATTTTTCATGGTGAACATTTATTTATAAAATGTATATTGTGTAATACATGTACTAACTTATGATGAAAAAAAATACTCACTGGTGTTAAATGATATAACAAATATAAAGTCAAAATGACATCGTTCTGACAAACTACATAAGAATACAGGTATATATTTGATATAACAAGGGAAACACCGTTTCATCAGTTAATATTAATCACGCTAGATTAAGCTTAAACACAGTACTGCAAACTGCCAATATCAGTTGTAATTATATTGTTAATCATAGAATAGTTGTCCATCTTTAATTACAAGGCAATATCTCTCCAGTGCTTTTACGGCGTTAAGTTATTTGTCGAGTTTAAAATGTTTTTTCTGACAAAAATGTGTCCCGTAAATAGTTTAATTTTCTGCAGATATAGATTTAGCCTATTCCAATTTTTTTTTCTGAAAGACAATTGCAAGTGCCAAGATTAGCGTTAAGTCTTATAGGATTTATTTCAATAGATCCTTCAAAGGTCAGTATTCAGGGTCTAAAGTATAAAGGGTTGCCTATAATGTCAACTATGGTAACCTATACCATCTACACAAAGAATGAAAGCTAAATGGAGAAGAGTGGGGTGTTGAGGGTAAAATGTTCCATAACATTTTGTTCTTCTAATATTACACTTAAAATACGGATGCGCTGTAGACTTTAAGCAAAAGATACTAAAGACCACTGGTGAATGTAAATCATAAATATATAAGATTATTAAATATGTTAAATTAGATTAAATTTGTAACTGGTTTTATTATTAAAGTGGTTTTTTAATACGCGTGACAACACTTATTCAATTATTTTTAACACCTTATCACCCTCAAGTTTTCAATCACTTGTGCAATAAGTTTAAAATATTTTATTTCAGTCATGTAAAATTAAATACAATACAATACAAAAAATGGGTTTGTAGAAATCTGAACTCTTTTGAAGATGTCTTCTTCAGCAGTTTCATAACCGTAATTGTATTGTCATATTTGAAAATCGAGAAAAACAGAATCCCGAAAGAACGTCCAAAAACTGTTTTAAAATTGGAAATGTTGCAGACTCGACTTCATTGAGCCTGTTCATGAAAGAAAGTGGTAACTGCGATCTACCGACCACGCAACTATTTTCACTCAATACCTGGAGTTTGCTTTTGGCTATTGAAACTAAACTTGGTGTATACTATAGTGATATTCAAGATAGTATGTATATGATAGTATATATGTTATTTGAAAATAAACTTTTTCAATTAATGTAAGACGTGACTACAACCTTCTTTATTTGACAACAAGGGGGACTCAAATATAGAGCGAAGCATGTGTCACAAAATGTGTTTCACCCTTACAAAAACAATGTTTCACTTTTGAAACAAAAAAAAAATCAATTTAGTTTTTAATTAGAAAATGAATGCCACGATTTATTCGTAAGTTTTTATCAAGTTAAGAATTGTGCTTTTCACTGTTATGTAACAAAAGTAAAATCCTATTCCCTTCATGTGTAACACAAAACATATAGAGACATTTAAATACAATTATTCAAAAGGAAATAAAATAAACCCAAGTTATGATCGGTTTCTATTGGCTATAATGGCTGTTATTGTCAGTACCGTATTACTATTCGTTGGAAGATGTTAAAGTGATAATAAAAGGATGAAAGCTGATAATAAATGATTAAAATGGTAGGACTCTTGGTATATAAAGAAATGCTGAAGAGTTTTGAAGAGAGTCTGATTCAAATCAGAAGTAGGCTTCTGGAACAAATCATTTGGACTGGCATTCTACGTCTTTCAGTAAACGTTCGAAGATTAAAATGTCACATATTGATTACATAAAGGTAAGACGATTTTACTTAAGTTTTGCAAGATGCTTCTTGAAATATCTTTGGAGGATTTGATTAAAATATTGCTAATTGGACAACAGAAATATTTTTTGTATTTTTTTTGGGGGGGGGGGGGGGGCGGGGGTCATTTTATACATTTATAAAAGAGGAGTAGCATTTGTTACAGATGTTAATTTTAGATGATAATTTCTTCATAAACGGCATATTTGTTACATTTAGTTCTTTTGGATGATTTATTTTTCATTTATGTGATAATAGTAGTATTTTATTAAAGTAATATATTGGAATTTTGAAATGCAATATATTTATTCTTTTGTTAATTGTCCAATGAATCTTAAATACACCTCCAAACTTTTCATATGTCTGAAAATTTAAAAAGTGTTCAAAATACTGCTGTTTTTGTCAAAAGAACAATTAAAGTAATTTATTTTTTTTCTTTTTGGCGCATAATTGGTATCTTTAGAGAATGCATTTTTAAAAGATGTTTAACAGAAATAATTTATTGTTTCAGCTGGTATTGGGATGCATGGTCTTCTTCATGGGTATTACTGTGCAGGCGAAAAAGGCTTTGTCATTTCGAGAACGATTAGTTCCTGTCAATAAAAGGTTTGCATATATTTATCTATTAATACATTGTTTTGTACGAGTACTATATAACAGTAAGATTTCTATTGCTGGAAAACATCACACAATTCTTGACTTACAAAAAGATTCATGTAAAATGTTTTAGCATATATTTAAGTCTTGCATGATTTCAAGTTTAATTTAAAAATGCGATGAGCACATATTCCTAGTAATTTATGTAAGAAAAATAACATTAAAGATTCTCAAAAGGATTTGAAATTATTCTTTGACAACAATTATAAATGAAAAGAAATACAATGAATTACATTTTTTAAATATGTTTTTTTTTGCAATTATTTCAGAAACATGGTTGACCAAAACCATTCAAGTCACCACCGACGACATCCTACGTATGCCTCTTCAGCTCAAAATTTGCCGAATGTGTGTTGTCCTTCAATAACGCGGAAAATTGCTCCTCTAGGAGGAATGTCAAGAAAGGGAACAATGCTACAGTTGTATCGCTCCGGGAAAACCGTACAAAAATTTTACGAAACGACATGCGCACAAAATGTCGAAAACAAACCTTGTATGTATATAAATCAATCAGAATGGAGATCTGTATGTAGACAGGAAACAAGATACACATATGCTATTGTAAAAGATTTTAACTCAACGGATGAATATAGAATAGATTACATGAAAATAAATTCCGGGTGTTCTTGCACGATTCTAGGACCGGCATGACAATCATCTGGAAGTCAACGGGCCAAAATTCACCAGAAACACACAGAATATAACATTTTCAACAAAATGTGGTACTAAAAAGATAAAACATAAATGTGTATATCGGTGTTTTCCCTTTTTTTAAATATAAATGGCATTTATTTAACATATAAAATTTGTGTACATGCAATAGTACCAATTCATGTATTGTTTTATTTTAATAAAAAATCGTTCTCTCATTCTTGTTCTTTTTATGTTTTTCTAGACTTTTCTATATATATCGTACTTTAATTACAGAGCAAACTGAATCTGAATGTTGCTCTTGAAACTATTGATCTTATACTCATGTCAAAACTAACGTATTTGAGTTAACTTATGTAAGCAAAAACATGCTGCGAATAATTGAGAACTTCCAGTATTACCAACAAAACTCCAGTTATTAAGTTTCAGTATTATAAAGGAGTTGTGATAAAGTTAGTTATTATAAGTAATAGAAGTATATACATAGAGTTATATCAAGCTTCGAAGTACGCTGATTGTCTACATACTGCTTTTCAAAAACTAACATTTACGATGTTAAATGTTAGTATTAGTAATCAATTAGTGTAAAACAATTTGTTATAGTCAATAAAAATTTTATATTTGATGAAATATCGGTCAATGGACACTAATTACCATAGTCTCTTTACCTAACACCTGTAGCGCAAATCATATGCAGCATTTTGTTTTACCGAAGTTCTCTTAAAATGTTTAATTACTTTATTACCACGAACCATCCTCGTGATGATATTGAATTTTCTTTATATTTTCAACAGTGTTAAAAATTTTCAAAAGTGTTAATAGGTAGTAAAATGTACGTTTTTTTATATTTTAAGTACCTCTTCCATGTTACTGGTTATTGCATCTAATAATTTAACGGTAAAATATCAGTTGTACATATTCGGTTGTATGATCTGACTGGTGTCCTGCTGCTTATTAGAATATATTTTGTGGTGTTGACCATTACATAAACTGAGATCAATATATACTTAATCAGTCTTTCAAAGATTTAATTATATAGAGGCGAAAGGTCGGAAACATGATAAATGATAAGTATGTTGTATTTTCGTGTGTCTACAGCCAGAACCAAACCAGATAGAGAACAGCAGACTAACGAAAAATACGATCATCTTAAGTGCTAAAGTTTTTACTTTGTGTTAGTATACTCACTTTTGTTTAACGTCTAAAATGGGAGGAATACACAATCAATTAATAGTTTGTTTTATTTTCGATTTTTGTAACTTTATCCAAGTGTAACGGAAAAGAGGGAAACCAATTGGAATATGAACCCTCGTTCAATATATTTTTGAAAGAATATTGACATCCCGGAAATAATTTGACAACCCCTTGATCAAAGTATCATGATTTTCAAACACGTAGAACAAAATGACCATCGCGAAGAATTACGGTTCTATATCAAAGACCCCCCTATCATTGGATGCCAATTGATTTGACCCCTTTCGTAGTATTATGACACCTTTGAAACACTAAAGGTTAGAGTTTCAGAAATAATAATATATTTTAAATATAGTAACATGTTACTTAATGTTCTGCTTTCTGCTTACATTCATGATTTATTTTGGCATAGACAGAAGACATTTGGAAGATTTGACGACTTAAATTCCGTTTGAGATTATAAAATTAGTACAGAAAGTCAGTGTTGCAGATTTGGTGCGACGTTAAATAACGTCGCTTTTGTGCGGAATCTTTGTTAATGATTTAAACGTAACGTCATCTCCTACGTATGTTACTATTCAGTGTTTATAAAGGAAATTAACCGTACACATGCCTTTATGTCCTCACATTTTGTTGTGCCGTGAACCGGAACCACCAATAATCTTCATAAACTATAAGCATTGAGAAAGGGCCTCAGAGCTACCAAAGCAGAACAAATGCACGTGATCGAAATAATAATAACAACAACAACAATAAAAATAATAATGATAATAATTATAATACTAATGATAATACAGGGGATGTTCAAATACTCAACAAATCAATCGAAGACATGTTTTCATTGGCCAGTACTGATACATATATTTTAAACAAGATTTATGCTGAAATACAGCAGTAGAAGTGAAGGAGACAGCTATGTCAAAATTCGCTTGAAACGTCAACTGCTGAAATATAATAAATTCTACATTTTGTCGAAATCCGCCAGAGATGTTGACACAGAAAACCACTCTTCACGAACAGAACCATCATCCAACATTTACGACGAGCAGATTGACTACATTGTTCATACCGCTGTCAAATTCATTACATCACAAGTTGCCAAAAATTTCCCTCCCGTCATTTAGAGCAGGTCTCTTAACATATCAGATATTGTTGGACTAATTTGAATCATCATTGCACAACAATTCCAGTTTAACAGACGTGCAGAAATTAAGTTACACGGATATAACACAGCGATGTTGTCATGGAAACAGAGCCATAAACCCCTCAAATCAAATTATGACATAAAAAAGAAAAGCACAAGGTGCACAATAAAGCGCCTTATTAGCTAAATGCCCCATTTGTTGATGAAATATAACGATATTAAACAGGAACAAGAAAATAGAGGCTTCATTAAGACTAGAATAAAGTTCCACAGCAAAACGCGCTCGTTATATGCCCCATAATGAAGTTGAAAAAACTTCCACAACAACGACCATACAAATAATACATGACTGTGGCTGCCGCCAATTAGAAAGAAGTCAAAGTTTAAATGACTGCCTTCAATACATACTTCCAGAGCTGAATGAACTAATAACCCCATCATTGAAGATCTCGATTTGGTAGAAATGCAGTATCAACTGACGAAGAGAAAATCTTTCTACATGTTGGTCTACATGAAGATGGTAAAGAGGTAACATCCCAGAAAAAACGAAGTTCAATAATTAGGCAGCTAAGGTTTATTTGTTGTGGCGGAAGAATACATAACACACAGTTGCCAGATTCCCGGACGTAATGTCCCAAAAAAAACCATATGATCAATTATAATCGAAAACGCATATAACAACCAATTACATACAGGTGTCGCCAATACTGAAAAAGGTAGTTCAGCAGAAGGTGTACATTTTTACATGTGCCAAAGTCCGTGTTATCCTACTAAACAGACTTCCAGATCTTACAGAAGTATCAAGAACATTCTTGGCAAAGCCTCCATTAATCTACAAAACGCTTCAAACGATAATTTCGGAAGTAGAGACAATGATGAACGACCATACCTACGTTTACCTACGTTTCATATGCTGGTGATGATCCAGAGCCTCTCACACCTTCAAAGTTACTGAATGCACGCATAGTGAAAACTCTACGACACCTTTAACCAACGATACAACTAGTCACCGTAGCAACCAAGACAATGTGCGGCAAAAACAAATCGGTATAAAACGGCGGGATTGGAATTTCGGGGCCTAAAACAACATATAACTATAACTATTTCGCTTCGCGGCACCACCGTATGACAATTAAATCTCGACTTTTTGCCCCGCGCCATTTCTAATTTGCTTGTTTTCACTCCGCGCCCCGCCATTTTAAATTCTTTATTCATGACGGGATTTTTGCAATGAGTAAATGCATGTGACGCTTTCTCTTTTAGGAAATATGTTTACGAATCTCTTTCATACAGTTGTTGCTTTTATACTTTTTCATAAATCGAACATTTATGTATATTACATGCATCAAATTTATATATTTTATACATAAGTCTATAATGGGCACATTTTCAAGGTAATAAGGTAAAAATAAATATTTTGGATATGTTTTGCATTATTTCTCAAAAGAAATGTTTCTAGGAGTATGGACATTTATATGATGAATATCTCCTTATACATCATAACTAGTTACCAGTAATACATATAAAATGTTTGTCAATGTTGGTATTAAATGTAAAAAATCATAAATATTTCAGTTCATAACTAAATCTGGAGAATAAGCTCTTATTAGTATGAAATCACATATGAATTAAATGTCTGCCTTATTAAGATATTATTTCATAACGGACCATGAACCACACTCATACCAACAACATCCATATACATGTATAATTCATTCGTGGTTGTTATCAAATATATAAAAGAAAATCTGGTAAAGGGTGACCCCTCGCATACATTTAAAACAACAAAATAATATGAAAATTGAGACTCTGTTCGGTTTGATTGAGACTCTTCACGAGAGAAAATAAAAAAAGTGTAACATCCCTCAGGCCCCCAGCACCATCTTAAACGGAATTCAATCTTCAACACTTACGTGCATGTATCAATGATTCCGCAGGACCAGAAAAAATATAACAACAAAGAGGTGAAGTACCTTTTACAAAAAAGCTCTTAAATATTAAAGCAGCACGCCTCCAGAATGATGCTTATTTTCATTAAAATTTTGAAACTGTGTTTAACAGTATTATTTAGTGAAATATCCAAACGGAAGTAATTTACACATTATCAATGGCACTTGCAACCCACGTAAATTACAAAAAAGGACAAAATATGCAAAATAGCCCTAACTGTGTTAGTAACGCAGTAGAAATATTCTTATCAATGCTGAAAAGTCAGTCATTAATCGCACATATCATGTAAATTAATACTTTATTCTTGAAATGTTTTATTTTTCCTTAAATCTTTACAGTACATTTTTGTCAAGTTTGATTTTATTGAAATATTTTCGCTCATCTGGAGGCGTGCAGCTTTAAAGTAAAAGGATGTCTGGGCATTTAATATGGTTTTTATTGGTATGCTTGTCATGAAACATTTTCTGAAGCTTTTAGTGACATTCGTATTCCAGTGGTGATACGAAATATATCATATTTGTTTAATGTTTCCTTCTCTACATTGCACGTTTAGTTCACCAAATTTGACATTTAAGCAGTGTCACTTTTTAGAGAGCGTATTATTGACCTTTGGAAAATATCTATTAAATAACTCCCAGAAGACTTAGCGCTAATCTAAGCACGTGCAATTGTCTCTCCATAAAGCATACATTTCGACAAGACTAATTCCAAA